GTCTTTACATCGTCTGTTTTTTTTTTTTTTTTTTTTTTTTTTTTTCTCTTAGTTACATCTTTATCCCGACATATATCTTTCTCTTTCCTTTGTGCCGTGCGCGCCGATTGGCTAACATTCCAATCGACACCGTTCGATCGATCCTGTGCCCGCGGCCGTTGAACCGTTGGTTGGGCAATCAGCACACTGAACGCGATTTAACCTGACCTCGATGGATCGATCGGTGCATTCACCCTCGATCGATCGATCGATCGATCGATTGGTGCATTGAACCTGCCAATCGATTCGATCGCTGCACTGAACCTCTCAATCGGCACACGATCCAACGGCATACGATAGAGATACATGACCCTTTCTCCATCCACCCCTCCCTTCGGACCCTGCGCCGAGCCAACGGTATACACACAGGGTCGGCAGCAGCGATCGTTTGCCGTTGGATCCAACGGCCCACGATCAGGAAGATCAAGCCGCTGATCGTGCACCGATCCAACGGCAAACGCTCGGTGCAGTGAACGTCGAGCCTGTGCCGAACCAACGGCACAGGCTCTCCCAACTTTTTCTGAAAAAAAAAAAAGAAACAAAAAAGAGAAAAAAAAAGATAGGCACAGGATCGGCGCACGATCTTAGACTATCGGCAAAGAAGTAATCGTTGAATCGTTCGACACATTCAACCATTGGATCTGCATAAGACCGAACGGATTACGATCGGCGCACTGAACCAGCCAACTGCCCGCTATCGGTCGACGCACTCGAACCAGTCAATCGGCAAAACGGCAGAGAGAGAGAGAGAGAGAGAGAGAGAGAGAGAGAGAGAGAGAGAGAGAGAGAGAGAGAGAGAGAATCGTGGGATGAATCACGGGCAGATTAGGCTCGTTGTAAATGCGAATGCCGTTTCCTTCGATGGCGAATGCGTCTGATGATGAGCGAGAGGCTGCAGGCTGATGTGGAGGAGGGAGGGAGGGTGTGCAGGCTTGCAGCATAATTGCCCCCATTCTGAGGAGAGATGGGCTTTGTACTGATTTATACACCTGGCACCCAACAACTTCGAGCCCTGCTTTTTCACCTCTTTTTTTTTTAACTCCTCCCCCTCCCCCCAACACACACACAAAAACATAGACACCTCTTTTTCACGTACTGTACATTGTCAGAAAAAAAGAGAGAGATGTCCGACTCATCGACAAGACAGACAGAGCCCCAAGCTGATACTCACTTAAGATTTCTTTTTTTTTCCCTTCAGAATGTGCCGCTAGTTGCAGTCAGGTACATCCAGGAAAGTCGCAGTGTGAATAATATGCCCCGAGGAAGGAAAAGAGCAACGCGGAAAGAGTCAGTCACTCCTTGGCTGAAGAAGTATGTCCATCCTGATTCATCTTTCCCTTTCTTTTCTTTTTTTTTTTTCAATCCTGATTGATGGTGTTCCTCCCCCCGCCCCCCCTTCCCCTCTTTCCCATCCTGATCTAGGCTACCAGAGTGGCCCGGGGTCACTTGCCCGGCCGGACCAAAAACAATTAAAAAAATAAAAATAAAACAATTATTTTTATTTTTATTTTTTCTAAATTTGGTGCAGAATTTCGATGTGACCCTGAGGCAAAAGTTGCTCAGTTTATTTTTCTGCATAACATAGTTTGTTTTCGGAGTTTTATTTATTTATTTATTTATTTATTTTGCTGGGACCTTCCCTGGTCGTTGCACCCGGCGGCCAGGCTGGTAGCCTAGATCCTGATTGGCTTTTTAATTTTATTTTATTTTCCCGATTCGTCATTGTTGCGAGGCACAAGGCCTGGATAAGCCCTACTGGGCCCCTATTGGCAACAGCGTCGGCCGCCCTAAGTGAAGGCAGGCTCGACAGACCCCAAGAGGCCTATTTTGGACTACTTCGCAACTGGGGAAAATTCAGGCAGTTGCGCGACGCCAGTTGGTTGGAAGCGCCCAGGCCCTGGCCTTCTTTATCAAATGCATCTGAGTCAGGCCGTGGGCGAGATTCGCAGCATGGACCCAACTCAGGCTGAGGGCAGTTGGGCACTAGTAACCACCACAGGCCCTGGGCCTGTTTCCTTTGGATGGAGGCTCAGCCTCGCGGGGCCTACCGGAAGCTTCTGGGCCGGGGCCCAGTACGACGGCACAGCGCGCAGCAGCAGGCCACTTCAATATAGGGAAGGGCCTGCCTACGCATGGGACATTCGGGCACTGGCTGCTTTGTGCGCAAGCGCTGCTGCGCTTTCGCCTGCCAGGCTCACTCGCTCACGGGCGAGCTGGAAGGAGCAGGCAGCCATAGCCGAGCTGCGCTGCTGTATGCTGGATGGGGCGCATGGTGCCATGGTGGTCCTTGTGCGCATGTGGCATCTGTGAGTTGGGGAACGAGGTTGTGAGTGATACGAGAGACATACCTGGTGCTTGAAGTGTGCGGCATTGTCCGAGATCTGCTTGTACTTTGGGGAGCTGTTGACGTCATCAGCGGTGTAGCGGACCTCGGGTTGGCCTGTGAGACCAGCCCCTTGGCCTGTTCTCACAGGCCTGTGTTGTATTCGGGGTAGGCCAGTCCAGGCCGGTACCTCTGTCGGTACCAGCCAGTCCAGTCCAGTCCCGTCAGTCCGSTGGGGTATACCCCAGCCATTGTCTGTCTTCTCTCATTCTTCACTTGCACATTTTGGAGTACGTGCGTTGGAGTCTTGCGTGGGGAGCTGCGCTGTGCACCTTGCTCCCTCCTTCTTCCTCCATCTCCATCTCTGTCACCAGCGGAGCACCACACCTGGTGGGTCCGCTACAAGCGGCATTGTAGTCTAGGCTAGATAGGATCTGCCATTTGTAGTCTGGGCGCCGAGCGCCAGATAGGATATCAACATTGGTTCATCGTTGATGATGATGAGACTATTCCAGCATTGTCAATTATGAGCTTTTGGTGTGCTCTTATTTGGTTAAACTTGTGATGCAATTCTGCTATTGGTTCGAGGTCACGACTATCTGGTCTCATGTGTATGATGCTGTTTGATTGCTGAAGTTCGCTATGGCTCATCTTCCTTGTGTTGTGATTGCCAGGCAGGAACTTTTTTTGGAGCCTTATACACAAGTGGACGATGGAGGACGAGGAGGAGCGTGGAGGTCCAAGGGATTGGGACTGGGACTGGGACTGGAACTGGGAATGGGAGTGGGATCCGTCCGGTACTGCTGGTGATAGCAGGGAGAAAATTTCCTAAAAAGGGAAGAGGCCTTGACGCGAGGAAGGCATCTGCTGAGGGAGTGCGCAGGCGGATGGAAGACAGGGAGCAGAATGTGGACAACAAAGACGGATGGAAAGAGGTAACACGACTAGCATTATTATTATTATTATTAGTAGTAGTAGTAGTATTAGTATTAGTATTAGTATTTATTTTTCTCCCTTCTCCTCATAGGGGGACAGCTATATATATTTTCTGTCACGTCACATATTTTAACTGGCGTTTGGCCATGTCATGGATCATATCTTTTTTTTTTTTTTTTTTTCTTAATCAATCATTCCTATTCAATCATAATTGAGGCAGGATCATATCTTTTTCCTTTCATGGTTTTTTAGTGGCCGCAGGTTTCCCACCTTCCCACCTTTCTGGGTTCATGGGGGGCCTTGTCCCACCAGCAGGGTTGAGTTTCCTCAATGCCTGAATCTGGGCGTGTTTTGACGACATGTGCAGAAATAGGGTTGAGTTTCCTCAACCCCACATCTCCACAAACACGTCCAGATTCGGGCGTTGAGGAAACTCAACCCTATTTCTGCACATGCCGTCAAAACACGCCCAGATTCGGGCGTTGAGGAAACTCAACGCTGCTGGTGGGATTTGGCCCCCTGGGGCCAAGTCCCACTAGCAGAGAGCCTGAATGTGGACGCTTTTGGGGAGATGTGCAGAAATGGTGTTGAGTTTCCTGAACTGCACCTCTCCACAAACACGTCCAGATTCAGGCGTTGAAGTACCTCAACGCTGCTAGTGGGACTTGGCCCTGGGGGATGCGGAGAAAAAAAAGAAAAAAAAGGACTCATCTCCAGTCAGCTTAGCTGGTTGGTTGAGCGACCAGCTCCAGGAGCATGGTCCCACTAGCAACGGGGATTGGATTAAGATCCTGAATCTGGGCGTGTTTTAGGCAGAGATGCAGAAAAGGAGTTCAATCTCGATTTTCTGCACTCGTCCACAAACGCGGCCAGCTTCAGGCGTTCAATCCAATCCTCTTTGCTAATGGGACCATGCTCCAGTGTGGGAAGTCGCATGTTTGATTCTTTGTATAGGCTCCGGATGCAATTTAGTTGAGTTCGTCTTCTTCTTCTTGGTCACCATTATTTTTTTTACTATTATTATATTTTTATTATTATTATTTTATTATTATATTTTTTTTATTATTATTTTATTATTATTTTTGTTTTGTCACCATTAATTTACTGTAGTACGAGTCCCATGCAAATTCCAAATTTATTGTCTTGAACCACCGAGCCTGGTTTTGCCGACCCTGAATTATAGTGCGCGCCGGAATTTCCCGAGGCTGTGTCCGGAGGTACCTTTCCCCTTTTTTTTTTTATTTGTCTGTTTGGAATCGGTACGTTTTCACTTGTGGCGTAGTCGGCCTCTGGTAAGGTCCGACTAACGGACACATGTTAGGGCAGGGTCCCTGTGGCTGGTGGCATTGTGCAAGGCCTGCACTATATATATGACGATATATATATCGTCACAAACAGAACTGCCCGGTAAACCGTAGGCAGAGAGAGAGAAGAGGACAACAAATATATATATTTGAATAATTTTTCCCTTTTTTTTTTTTTTTTTTGGCCTGTGAGGGGCGTGTCGGTTTGCCGGCGACTGGTACTGCGGATTGGAGGGCGGTGGTCGTCCGCACGTGGAAAGACGGATGGACGACGACCGTTGCCATCGCCAGCGGCGTGTCCCGACCTCGTATTCTGTGTGTGTGTGTGTGTGTGCAGTCGTCGTTAATAGGTGGTGTCATTTTTGGCGATTTTATCACCGAAACTGCCATGTTTCCCTCACCTTTCGCGTTTTTATGGTATGTTCATTTTTGACTGCATGCATGTCCTTCAGGGTAAATCTTTATTCAGTTTGAACGTATTTTGACCACTAACAAAAAAGTTGGCAAAAACACCGAAATCGGAAAAGTTTTGGTGAACTCGGAAAGCTACTCCAACTAGGGTTTACACTGCTGTTCACTGTTCAGTTCTTTTTTTTTTTTTTCGTTTTTTTTGCCTGTTCCTTTTTTTGGTGTATGTGTTATAAGCTTGCGTAGGGGCAGGTCGGTTTTTTTTTTCGACGTCATTCC